CAAGACTAAAACAGGATTGAACCTGGACTAAAACCAAGACTAAAACAGGACTAAAATCAAGACAAAAACAGGACAGAACCAGGACTAAAACCAAGATTAAAACAGGTCTAAAACAGGACTAAAACCAGGACTAAAAGAGGAGTGAACCAGGACTAAAACAGGACTAAAACCAATACTAAAACAGGTCTAAAACAGGACAAAACGAGAGCTGAACCAGGAGTGAACCAGGACTAAAACACGTCTAAATCTGGTCTAGTGTATTCTGATTCCTGATATAGTCGCTGGAGAGAAATGAAATCGAGCGGAGGCACTAGGTGGCGCTGGCCTGACGACCCCCATGGAAAACTTTGTCAGGTCGTGAAGACGCTGCTGCTTTATCCACGGTTTTATCACATGCCCAGTGTCGGGAATTACACCGGAAGTCGTCACCCGCGTGTTTCCGAAACGTCTATCGCGATTTAAAACGTTCAAATAACAGGCGAGTTTCAACTGACGTCATTGTTATTAAAAGCCCGCGTTGCTGCTGGGAAATATTTTGGTCGGAGGCAAGAAACACAGGTAGCGTCAAACACAGTGCGTAACCTCACGTATTTATCCCCGATAATGGTAAATTCCTGCTGCATTATCGGACGCACAAATAGAAGCACGGAAGAAGGAAAATGTCTTTTTCGTATTCTGAGTGAAAAAGAACCACTAACGGTGAATTAAACGGCTTTCAAACATTCCGCAGAGCAAACGTAGAAGATCCTAACAAACCGTGGACTCCAACAAGTTCAACAACACATCGAGACTCTTGGAGGTTTTCATCTTTTCTGCTGTGAATGGCCCAGGAGTTTCCACCAAGTCATTGTGGATATCGCCCAAGTGAATATTTGTCCAGGTAGTTGAAGATTCCGACCAGAAATTTGGTTTGGTCCAGGCTTTGTCGGGGTTGAAAAGGGTGATTTGTCGTCCGTCGATGCTTATGACCAATTTCTGGTCAAATGTTCTTGGGTCCTCTGCCGTTAGAGTGGATAAATAACCGGGATCAATACCCTTTACGTGCTTTCTCGCTCCGTCCGTCATGTTGAATTAGCGTTTCTTGCCGCCGACCAAAATAATTCCCAGCATGCAACGCGCGCTTTTGTCAACAATGAAACTCGCTTATAACACGACGATCCACAGATGTCACAGATTATAACGACATCAGACTCAGTAGAAGCAGCACAATAGTCGTTCTTTAATCCTTTAAGTTTGAGAGTAACAGCTGACAGGCTAAAACACGACCTGTTTACACGTCCCGAAGCGCCGCGTCACTCGTCCAACTCCCAGGTACTTACCGCACGATGTAGTCATGCAAGTTTAAGTCCACTCTGCGCTCGAAAAATCCACACAAAAGTCAGACTTAAAGAGCGTGTGACTGTTGGGTTTTCAGGTTTTTCTAACTCTGACTCGGTTTGGGGGACAGAGCCGGACCTGTGCCAAATATTTAGCATAGTTTTTCTGCTGCCAGGAAGTAAAATTATCAACCAGAATGAGAAAACTGGAAAAAAAAATAAGGCAAATGTGAAGTGAAATCTTAAATATAATGACGTTAAGTGTGTTTTGGTGTAAAGACGTATTTGATCTGATACTGATATAAGATATAAGAGAAAAGTGCAGATACTGAAAAAAACATCAGCTTCTAAACCAGGACTAAACCAGAACTGAACCAGGACTAAACCAGGTCTAAAACAGGATTAAACCAGGTCTAAACCAGGTCTAAACCAGTGCTGAACCAGGACTAAACCAGGACTTAACCAGGACTTAACCAAGACTAAACTAGGACTAAACCAGGACTAAACCAGGACTGAAGCAGGACTAAACCAAGTCTAAACCAGGACTAAACCAAGTCTAAACCAGGACTAAACCAAGTCTAATCCAGGACTAAACCAGGACTAAACCAAGACTAAAACAGGACTGAACCAAGACTGAACCAGGACTAAACTAAGTCTAAACCAGGACTAAACCAGGACTACACTAAGTCTAAACCAGGACTAAACCAGGACTAAACTAAGTCTAAACCAGGACTAAACCAGGACTAAACTAAGTCTAAACCAGGACTAAACCAGGACTAAATCAAGACTAAAACAAGACTGAACCAAGACTCAACCAGGACTAAACCAGGACTAAACCAAGTCTAAAACAGGACTGAAGCAGGACTAAACCAGGACAAAAACAGGACTACAAAAGAACTGAATCAGGACTAAACCAGGACTAAACCAGGACTAAACCAGGACTAAACCAGGTCTAGAAATGGATCAAACCATCTGGGTCAAACCAGGACTAAAATAGGACTGAACCATGTCCACATCAGGACTTAACTGGACCAAATCAGACAAAAGTGAAGTGAACTCGCCCTGAGAAACACTGAGCAGCAAATCCATGTTTACATGTCAACAGCACGTATGACACACAGGACGAGGTGAGGCCGCGATCCAGACCAGAACAGACCAGACCGGACCAGAACAGACCCGAGAGGCCCGTAAAAACACACAGACACGCTGCTGATACGCTGACCAGATTTTCAGAATCAAAAACTGGGACATCTCTGGTTGTGGAGGATGGTAATAATAAAATTGTGAAAGGAGCGAGTAATTAAAAAGACTTTTTCTGTACTCGGCCCATTCATGACGAACATGTGTGTGTCAGAATCAACCGGACTGAACCAGGACTAAAACAAGACTAAAACAAGACTAAAACCAAGACTAAAACAAGACTAAAAACTAAAACAGACTAAAACAGGACTAAACCAAGGACTAAACCAAGAACTAAAACTAAACCAAGGACTAAACCAAGACTAAACCAGGACTAAACCAAGTCTAAACCAGGACTAAACCAACTAAACAAGAATCCAGGACTAAACCAAGACTAAACTAAACAACTAACCAGACTAAAACAGGACTAAACCAAGACTAAAACAGGACTGAACCAAGACTGAACCAAGACTGAACCAGGACTAAACCAGGACTAAACTAAGTCTAAACCAGGACTAAATCAAGACTAAAACAAGACTGAACCAAGACTCAACCAGGACTAAACCAGGACTAAACCAAGTCTAAACCAGGACTAAACCAGGACTGAAGCAGGACTGAACTAGGACAAAAACAGACTACAACAGGGCTGAACCAGGACTGAATCAGGACTAAACCAGGACCAAACCAGATCTAAACCAGGTCTAGAAATGGATCAAACCATCTGGGTCAAACCAGGACTAAAATAGGACTGAACCATGTCCACATCAGGACTTAACTGGACCAAATCAGACAAAAGTGAAGTGAACTCGCCCTGAGAAACACTGAGCAGCAAATCCATGTTTACATGTCAACAGCACGTATGACACACAGGACGAGGTGAGGCCGCGATCCAGACCAGAACAGACCAGACCGGACCAGAACAGACCCGAGAGGCCCGTAAAAACACACAGACACGCTGCTGATACGCTGACCAGATTTTCAGAATCAAAAACTGGGACATCTCTGGTTGTGGAGGACGGTAATAATAAAATTGTGAAAGGAGCGAGTAATTAAAAATACTTTTTCTGTACTCGGCCCATTCATGACGAACATGTGTGTGTCAGAATCAACCGGACTGAATCAGGACTAAAACAAGACTAAAACAAGACTAAAACAGGACTAAAACCAAGACTAAAACAGGACTAAAACCAAGACTAAAACAGGACTAAAACCAAGACTAAAACAGGACTAAAACCAAGACTAAAACAGACTAAAACCAAGACTAAAACCAAGACTAAAACAGGACTAAAACCAAGACTAAAACCAAGACTAAAACAGGACTAAAACCAAGACTAAAACAGGACTAAAACCAAGACTAAAACAGGACTAAAACCAAGACTAAAACAGGACTAAAACCAAGACTAAAACAGACTAAAACCAAGACTAAAACAGGACTAAAACCAAGACTAAAACAGGACTGAACCAAGACTAAAACAGGACTAAAACCAAGACTAAAACAGGACTAAAACCAAGACTAAAACAAGACTAAAACAAGACTAAAACAAGACTAAAACCAAGACTAAAACAGGACTAAAACCAAGACTAAAACAGACTAAAAAGACTAAAACCAAAAGACTAAAACTAAAACAGGACTGAACCAAGACTAAAACAGGACTAAAACCAAGACTAAAACAGGACTAAAACCAAGACTAAAATAGGACTAAAACCAAGACTAAAACCAAGACTAAAACCAAGACTAAAACCAAGACTAAAACAGGACTGAATGAGAGCTGAACCAGGAGTGAACCAGATCTAAACCGGGTCTAAGCCGGATCTAAACCAGAACTAATCCAGGTGTAATCCAGACTAAATCAGGACTAAACCAGGACTAAAACAAGACTAAACCAGTACTAAACCAAGTCTAAACGAGAGCTGAGCCAAGACCAAACCAAGTCTAAACCAGGAGTAATCCTGGACATAGAGTGAGCAGATTTTCAGAATAATAAACTGGGACATCTCTGGTTTGTGTTGGACGGTAATAATAAAACTGATACGAGTGCGGAATTAAGAAGAATTGTTCTGCACTCAACCCATTCATGACTAACATATGAGTCAGTACAGTCATATTTTCTTTGTATTTTGATCATTTTTAAGCAGCTTTTCTGTACTTTACCAAAAGAAATGCCAGTTTATGCCTCTTTTTACTGATTGTCAGGGATCAGAATTGGTCAAAAACAGGGACACAGGTGGGACATTTCTTGTGTAAAACCGGGACAAATCACTGGTTTTGTATAAATCTGGACCTGTCCCGGATAAAGAGGGTAAAAATGTTGACCCACATGTTTGTCATTACGCCACAGGAAACCACAGACACTGATGTTGTTGTTGTTGTTGTTGTTGTTGCCTAATAACATTAGCGTTAGCACTGAGACACACACCGGTCACTTTTATATATTCCAGAAAAGATGAAGTGGCTCGATTCGCTTCAGTTTTTAAGCACATAAACTCATCTTTAAGCACAAATACCTGCACGCGGGGCCCGTGTCTCGTCTTCTCCGCGGGTGGACCGAACAGGCTCCAGCTTTGGGTGTGTACGGCTAATGACAGCTAACGCCAGCGCCGCTACCTGCCGCTCTTATTTACACTTTAAAACACCGAACTACACGAATAATCCAACTTTAATCCAACACCTACACAAAGATAACAAGTTAATGTATTACGTGTGCGTATTGACGTTGAAGTGGGTTAAATCTACGCGGGGGTAAAGTGTAACGAGCGGTGTTAGCTGGGATGTAGCAGGGCGGGCTAACTCCCATACAAAACAGCGGAGGAGGGCTAATGCTAAGAGCTAATGCTAACCGTGCTAATGCTAAGTCGTAGATGTGAACCGTAGAAGTCGCGTCGAGCCGCAAGGAGCGCGTCGATGCCGCCGCCATCTTGGGACGGGGGTTCTAAGATTCTAATATTTAGGCCTGTGATATTAAATGTGTTTTGAAACCAGGACTAAACCAGGGCTAAAACAGGTCTAAACCAGGACTAAAAAAAGAACTAAAACAGGTCTAAACCAGGACTAAAAACAGGTCTAAACCAGGACTAAACCAGGACTAAAACAGGTCTAAACCAGGACTAAAACAGGTCTAAACCAGGACTGAACCAACTAAAACAGGTCTAAACCAGGACTAAAACAGGTCTAAACCAGGACTAAAACAGGTCTAAACCAGGACTAAACCAGGACTAAAACAGGTCTAAACCAGGACTAAACAGGTCTAAACCAGGACTAAACCAGGACTAAAACAAGACTGAACCAAGTCTAAACCAGGATTAAACCAGGACTAAATCAGGATTCAACCCGGATTAAACCTGGACTAAACCAGGTTTAATCCAGACCTAAACCAGGACTGAAACAGGCCTAAACCAAGACTGAAATAGGACTAATCTAATCCAGATCTAAACCAGGACTAAAATAGTTCTAAAACATGATCTAAAACAGGACTGAACCAGATCTGAACCAGGATTAAATCAGGTCTAACTCAGGACTACATCACGTCTAATCCAGATCTAAAACAGGACTAAACCAGGACTGAACCAAGACTAAACCTGGACTAAATCAGGACTGAACCCAGACTCAACCTGGACATAACCAGGTTTAATCCAGATCTAAATCAGGTCTGAAACAGGACTAAACCAGCACTGAACTAGGACTGAACCAGGTTTAAACCAGGACCAAACCTGCACTAAACCAGGACTGAACGAGAGCTGAACCAGGACTAAACCAGGACTAAAAGAGGTTTAAAACATGATCTAAAATAGGACTGAACCAGGATTGAACAAGAGCTGAACCAGAACTGAACCAGATCTAACTCGGGACTACATCAGGTCTAATCCAGATCTAAAACAGGACTAAACCACACCTAAAACAGGACTGAACCAGGACTAAACCTGGACTAAATCAGGACTGAACCAGGACTAGACCAGGGCTAAAACAGGACTAAACCACACCTAAATCAGAACTAAACCAGTACTAAACTGGGACCAAAACAGGACCACACCAGGTCTAATCCAGGTCTAACTAAAGATTGTATCAGGACAGGACTAAACCAGGACTAAACCACATCTAAACCAGGTCTAAACCAAGTCTAAACCAAGGTCTAAACCAGGACTAAAACAGGACTAAACCACACCTAAATCAGAACTAAACCAGTACTAAACCAGGACTAAAACAGAACCAAAACAGGACTAGAGCAGGTGTAAACCAGGTCTAATCTAAGCCTAAAGCAGGTCTAACTCAGGACTAAACCAGATCTAAAAGAGGTCTAATCCAGGACTAACACAGGACTAACACAGGACTACACCAGGACTAAAACAGGACTAAACCACACCTAAATCAGAACAAAACCAGTACTAAACCAGGACTAAACCAGGACCGAAACAGACTACACCAGGTCTAAACCAGGTCAAACTCCGGTCTAAACTAAATCTAAACCAGGTCTAACTCAGGACTAAACCAGATCTAAACCAGGCCTCATTTTGCACTTTAAACCAGCGTCGCCCTGTACCAACATGGCGGCTCTGTTGACGCATTCGTTCCAATAAACCGCGGCAGTCCATGCGACATCTACCGCTCTATATGTGCGCGCTAATGCTAAACGTGCAGCGGAGGCTTCGGGAGGAGCCTTTTCCCCGCGCCGCTCACCTCGTCTGTCGGCGGGGCTCCTGCTCCTGCTGCTCCGGCTCCGGCTCCTGCTGCTGCTGCTCCGGCTCCTGCTCCTCCTGGGTGGACGTGTCCGATGGCGGGGGCTCGGAGGTGGAACAGCGGTTAGTGGGGCATGGGAGCGCTCATGTGCGGCTCCTCTGGCTCTGGCTCTGCTCCTCTGGCTCTGGCTCTGCTGTGGCTCCCGTGGCTCCGGCGGTGTCGCTCTCACTTCCCCTGCACTTCCCCTTCGCACGCCGATGACAGCTCCGACTGCAGCCCGAGCGAACAGGCGCGCGCTACACTGCTCCCTACGCGCAGCACCTTGCACACGGCGCACTACACTGCTCCCTACACACTGCGCACTATCCAATCCACTTTATTTCTATAGCACATTTCACAAACACAATAATAACTATAATAAGATGACAAAATAAACTACTGAAATTATACTAGTCTTAAAATAAAATAAAAACAAAATCATAGAATAGAAATAAATAAACCACTAAATCCATAAAAACACATAAAAATACATTTAAAAAAAACAGAGGACGACACAATTCACGCGGTGTTAAAAGCCAGAGAATAAAAGTGGGTCTTAAGACAAGATCCTACACTGCTCCCTACACACGGCACACTACACTGCTCCCTACACACTGCACACTACACTGCTCCCTACACACGGCACACTACACTGCTCCCTACACACGGCACACTACACTGCTCCCTACACACGGCACACTATCCAAGTTTCCCAAAGTGCTGCACAAATACATAATACTACCAATAATAAGATGATAAAATAAAACTACAAAAATCATACTAGTCTTAAAATAAAATAAAAACTAAATCATAAAATAGAAATAAATAAACCAATAAATCAATAAATCAATAAAAACACTTAAAAATAAATAAAAAACACAGAGGAAGACACAATTCACGCGGTGTTAAAAGCCAGAGAATAAAAGTGGGTAGTAGTAAGACGAGATACTACACTGCTCCCTACACACGGCACACTATCCAAGTTTCCCAAAGTGCTGCACAAATACATAATAATAACAATAATAAACTAAAAATAAACTACTAAAGTCATACTAGTCTTAAAATAATAAAATAAAAACAAAAACATAGAATAGAAATAAATAAACCAATAAATTGAATGATAAATAAAACCAATAAAAACACATAAAAATTAATGAATTAATTTAAAAAAAAACAGAGGACGACACAATTCACGCGGTGTTAAAAGCCAGAGAATAAAAGTGGGTCTTAAGACGAGACCCTACACTGCTCCCTACACACTGCACACTACACTGCTCCCTACACACTGCACACTACACTGCTCCCTACACACTGCAGCCTATCCAAGTTTCCAAAGTGCAGCATAAATACATAATAATACCTATAATAATTTGACCAAATAAACTACTAAAATCATACTAGTCTTAAAATAAAATAAAAACAAATAAAATAAAAACCAATAAATCAATAAAAACACATAAAAATAAATAAAAAACACAGAGGACGACACAATTCACGCAGTGTTAAAAGACAGAGAATAAAAGTGGGTAGTAGTAAGACGAGACACTACACTGCTCCCTACACACGGCACACTACACTGCTCCCTACACACTGCACACTACACTGCTCCCTACACACTGCACACTACACCGCTCCCTACACACTGCACACTACACCGCTCCCTACACACTGCACACTACACTGCTCCCTACACACAGATCAGACTGCAGCTCAGAGTTACTGTTTATTCATAAAAATTCATCATTAACCATATTTTTTACCGCTTTTTTCTCTCAATATGACAATTAGTCTATAACATTTGAGTATATTATCTTATTATTAACAATCATTATTATTATTTTATTAGAATAGAGTGACTGTAAGTCCCAATTTACCCAGGACAGTCCCAGTTTTGAGCCCAAAACCAGTGATTTGTCCGAGTTTTATACAAGAAATGTCCCTATTTTTGACCAATTTGATCTAAAACGGGTCTAAACTAAGACTAAACCGGGACTAAACCAAGACTATCAGAATTTTTGACTAATCTGAATCCAACCAACAGTAAAAAGAGACACAAATTGACATTTATTTAGGTAAAATACAGAAAAACATGTTTGCAAATGACCATAAAGCAAAAAAAATGCAGCAACAGAAGGTCCTCAGATTATGAATCCACAATGCTACACACTATTTTCACAATTTATATTTATTTATACCAACTTATCCTAAACATCACCCTGCACACAGATCAGACTGCAGCTCAAAGTTACAGCGTTTTTCTTTTTTTTTTTTTTTTTTTTAAATATGACAGTTAGTCTATAACATTTTAGTACATTATCTTATTATTTTCAAGCGTTATTATTTATTATTTTATTATTGCGCATTGATCATGTTGATAAATGTTGATAAATTGTGAATAATATATTATGTAGGTTTATTTAAAATGCAGGAAACTAAACCTCCTGTGCTGAGCTGCTGTTACCGAGCAACAAGACGTAAACAAACTGAACGTGCAGCAGCAGAGGAGCAGACTTACTTCTTTAAATAAAATGAACAGTCGAACGGTAAGTTTGGATTCTTTTATGAAACAGATGATTTTGTCAAACTGTCGGAGTGTGACTGAACTTTGATGTGGACACAGGCTGGAAAAACTGTCCCTCGAGGATCTACAGCCGAGGAATGTCTGCGGGAAACACACGAGGTCTGAACTCACACAAACACAAACACAAAGATGTTTCTGCTCGAATTTTTGCTGTAAACCAGAGGCACAACTAGTAATATTCTGTTATAATAAGATATAATAATCTAATTTATGATAGAAAACAATGGAATAATATTGAAATAATGATTTTCCAGATGCTCAAAAGTCCGTGTGACATTCGTTTTTCAAAATAAAATCAAAAATAAGAAAACGAAAAAACTGTTTTCTTTGTTATTTGTCTCCAAAATCAAAATGAAAAAAATAAATAAATAAAAACAGATAATGATTTGTTTTTTCAGTTTTTGATTTTGTGTTTAAATGAAAAATGGAAAAAAACGAATAACAGACTAAACCAGGACTAAACCAGGACTGAACCAGGACTGAACCAGGACCAGGACTAAACCAGGACTAAACCAGGACTAAACCAGGACTGAACCAGGACTAACCAGGACTAAACCAGGACTGAACCAGGACTGAACCAGGACTAAACCAGGACTAAACCAGGACTAAACCAGGACTAACCAGGACTGAACCAGGACTAAACCAGGACTAAACCAGGACTAAACCAGGACTAAACCAGGACTAAACCAGGACTGAACCAGGACTGAACCAGGACTAAAACCAGGACTAAAACAGGAGTGAACCAGGTTCGGGACCAGAGCAGAACTGAGACAAGGACTTAGACCGGGACCAAACCAGGACTGAGACCCGGGACCAGACCTTAATCAGACTGGGACCAGACCAGGACTGAAAATGGTTCAGTCCTGGTTCAGGCCTTTATTCGTTTTTTTTTTTTTTTTTTTTTCATTTTTCATTTAAACACAAAATCAAAAACTGAAAAAACAAATCATTATCTGTTTTTTCCATTTTGGTTTTGGAGACAAATAAATTAAGAATTTTTTATTTTTTTTCCATTTTCTTATTTTTGGTTTTATTTTGAAAAACAAATGAACGAATGACACACGGATTTTCAAAGTTGTTTGATTTTCATTCAACAAAACTGACATTTAAATCCGACATGTGTTTGTGTTATAATAAATCAAATATTAAACAAACTAAATATATTAAATAAAGTCAATATTTCCACTGTATTGGTTCAAATATAATGATCATACAGTAGTTTTTGTTGTAATGGTTTAATGAGTTTTATTCGTGTCACGTCGTAGACTCAGACGCCTCCTGAGGTGAGGAAGTTCCGCCGCAGTAACGAGCCGGAGCCGGGCCGGATCAGAGTGCATCATGGGAAGGCGGAGATCCAGACGTGTCCGGAGATCTGATCCACGGAGTCCGAACCAAAAACTCCCACTGTGTAAGTCTGAGAGTCAAGAGTCGGTTCACTGAGGTCTGAGTCGGACACTTACACACTTTACAGATGCTCCGAGTCACTTTACACTTATGTGTGTTATTCATTCACTTCACACTCTGGTGAAGATTCTGTTGTAGCCACAGCCGCCCCGGGGCAAACTGACAAAAGTGCAGCTGTCAGTCTGAACCGCCGACACACATTTGTTGACATGACATCATTTTAAAAGCAGTTATCTTGAAAACTACTCAGTCTAACTCAATGAATCTGAACAGTTTATTTGCTGAACATCATAATAAGTTTATTTGTTTTATTTGTTTTTCCAAATACTTTACATTGAAGCTGCACAGACTGAGCAGATTTCAAGACACAAAGTGACGCTCAACCTGAAAACAACAAAAATAAAACATTAAATATAAAATCTTGATCTGTTTCTGTACATTCTGTGAAAATCTGAGGTTATTTCAACAAGAATTACCAAAATTATTGCCCCCGCGAAATAATGTCAAATTTTTTGAGATCAGACATGTCAAATTTCGTCAGGGCAAAGTTTTGTCCGGACGAAGACCATCTTCCTGGTGGAAACGCGTTGGCGTCCCTTCATGTAATAAAAAGACTTTTAATGTGTTCAGTTGGAGCCTCGGGTTTGTACATGACCCATTCTTACATTTTCCAGTAAGGGTCATTTTCTGTTCTAAGACGACGGTTTTAACCCTCGTGGACCTGTACTGCTGTTTTTTACTCTTTTAAGACCCAGGGAAGCGCTCCATCTTTCTCTTTTTCTTCATCTGATGTATTAGACGCTATAGAGACATTATTTATTTAAAATTGTGTTATTATTTTATATTTTGATTGTTCTGGATTCAGTGTTTAAGCAAAACAATTATTAAACATTTATTTTAATAAGAAAAGATTTAGGTAACACTTTATAATAACTACACTTTATTTAGCCTTAATAAAGCATGAATAAAGACTTAATTAATAATGAACAAAGACTTAATGATTCATGCTTAGTAAATGTTTAATGAAGGATAATTAGTCTTCACTTTAGAAAAGCTCTCAACTAAGCGTGAATCATTATTAATTAAGTCTTTGTTCATTATTAATTAAGCCTTTGTTCATGCTTTATTAAGGCTAAATAATATAAAGTGTTACCAAGATTTAATATTACAGATCTCAGAGAAAACATGCAGATGTTGTTGAAATTTTTCAATAAATATTTAGTTTGGCCCACGACTTAATCCCAGTTTTGAATTTTGGCCTCTGTGAATTTGAGTTTGACTCTCCTCCTGTATATGATACTGTAATTATTGTTGTTATAAAGACATTTCTCTTTGCATGTTTGATTTTGAACTATAACAACAACCTGCCCAGGGACAAAAGGTGGAAATTGGCACTGGCGCTTTAACCCAGTACAAACATCTCTCCTGTCCCTGTCTTATTAAATAACTAAACTAAACTAATATTTAAGTCAAATGACACTACAACCATGTCCTCTGTTGCTCCACTGAGTTTCCTTCAGTCTCCCATCACAGAACTGACCAAACTAAACTGTATTTTTCCTCCTCATTGGATCAGTGTCACTAAAGGTTTAAACAAATGTTAAACTCAATTTTGACTCTAAATAAAAGAATTGCACTTAATATATTGATTTAAAAACACAACAAAAGTATTTTTAGATTTTCATTTCTCATTTGACAGATTTGACGTTGATGTTTTTTTGTGTTTCACTGTTTCCTCCAGAGCTCCGAGCTGCTGAATCCTCCTCGTGTCACCGTGTTCCAGGAGAAGCTGCGGGAGCTGAGTGAAGCGCTGTACAGGTCCCAGCAGAGGGCGCCGCTGGGCCGGTCCTACAGGCAGAGCGGAGGACTGCCCCCCCGGGTCACAGACGACACCGTGTTTGGAGTCCGGAACGCCAAAGGTCAGGAAAATCTAACGCTGGACCATGAAACAAATGAAACAGATGAAACAGACCAATATTATTAGACAAAAGACCTAAACTTTGTCCAAAACTACTTTTCAAATAGAGTTTCTAAACTGGACCTGAAACCTGCAGGACTAGAGGAAGTGAAAATGTAGTGGTTTTTGAGTTTACGTGATAAAATAGTAGAAAAGCTTTTCTCAGCAAAAGAAAATTCAACCTGGAGAGACTCAGACACAAAGACTGAAGAATCGAGACTCAACTAGAACCCTGTGGATGGGATGGATCTGCCAAGGTCAGAGGGTTGAATCAGGACTAAACCAGGACTAAACCAGGTTTCAACGGCAACCCTATGGGATCTATGAATCCTCATCTAAACCAGTAGTACATCAGGTCTATAAACCAGGTCTAAATCAGGTTTATACCAGACCTAAACCTGGAGTAAACTAGGAGTAATCAAGGTCTAAACCAGGACTAAACTAAGACTAAACCAGGTCTAAAGCAGGCCTAAAACAAGACTAAACCAGGTCTAAAGCAGGCCTAAAACAAGACTAAATCAGGTCTAATCCAGGTCTAAACGAGGACTGAAACAGGACTAAACCAGGTCTCAATGACAAGCCTACGGGATTTGTGGATCTTCATCGAAACCAGTACTAAATCAAGTCTAAAAAACAGGTCTAAAGCAGGTCTAAAGCAGGCCTAAACTGGGACTAAACCAGGACTACATCAGGACTAAACCAGGTCACAACTGTAAGTCTATGGAATGTATAGATCTTTATCTAAAACAGGACTAAATCAGGTCTAAAAACTAGGTCTAAACGAGGTCTAAAGCAGGCCTAAACCAGGTCTCAACTACAACCGTATGGGATGTATGAATCCTCATCTAAACCTGGACTAAATGATGTCTAAAAAACTGGTCTAAATCAGGTCTAAACCACATCTAAACCACATATAAACCAGGTCTAAACCAGGTCTAAACCAGGACTAAACCAGGTCTTAAGCAGGTCTAAACCAGGTCTAAACCAGGTCTCAACAACAAGCCTACAGGATGTATGGATCTTCATTTAAACCAATACTAAATCAAATCTAAAAACCAGGTCTAAAGCAGGTCTAAAAAAGAGCCTAAACCAGGACTAAACCAGGTCTAAACCAGATCACAACTATAAGCCTATGGGATGTATGGATCCTTATCTAAAATAGGACTAAATCAGGTCTAAACCAGGTCTAAACGAGGACTCAACCAGGTGTAAACCAGGTCTAAACCAGGACTAAACAGGTCTAAAGCAGGCCTAAACTTGGACTAAACCAGGACTACATCAGGACTAAACCAGGTCACAACTGTAAGTCTATGGAATGTATAGATCTTTATTTAAAACAGGACTAAATCAGGTCTAAAAACTAGGTCTAAACGAGGTCTAAAGCAGGCCTAAACCAGGTCTCAACTACAACCTTATGGGATGTATGAATCCTCATCTAAACCTGGACTAAATCAGGTCTAAAAAACTGGTCTAAATCAGGTCTAAACCACATCTAAACCAGGTCTAAACCAGGTCTAAACCAGGAATAAACCAGGTCTAAACCAGGACTAAACCAGGTCTTAAGCAGGTCTAAACCAGGTCTCAACAACAAGCCTACAGGATGTATGGATCTTCATTTAAACCAATACTAAATCAAATCTAAAAACCAGGTCTAAAGCAGGTCTAAAAAAGAGCCTAAACCAGGACTAAACCAGGTCTAAACCAGATCACAACTATAAGCCTATGGGATGTATGGATCCTTATCTAAAATAGGACTAAATCAGGTCTAAACCAGGTCTAAACGAGGACTCAACCAGGTGTAAACCAGGTCTAAACCAGGACTAAACCAGGTCTAAAGCAGATCTAAAGCAGGCCTAAACTTGGACTAAACCAGGACTACATCAGGACTAAACCAGGTCACAACTGTAAGTCTATGGAATGTATAGATCTTTATCTAAAACAGGACTAAATCAGGTCTAAAAACTAGGTCTAAACGAGGTCTAAAGCAGGCCTAAACCAGGTCTCAACTACAACCTTATGGGATGTATGAATCCTCATCTAAACCTGGACTAAATTAGGTCTAAAAAACTGGTCTAAATCAGGTCTAAACCAGGTATAAACCAGGAATAAACCAGGTCTAAACCAGGAATAAACCAGGTCTTAAGCAGGTCTAAACCAGGTCTAAACCAGGTCTCAACAACAAGCCTACAGGATGTATGGATCTTCATTTAAACCAATACTAAATCAAATCTAAAAACCAGGTCTAAAGCAGGTCTAAAAAAGAGCCTAAACCAGGACTAAACCAGGTCTAAACCAGATCACAACTATAAGTCTATGGGATGTATGGATCCTTATCTAAATCAGGTCTAAACCAGGTCTAAACGAGGACTCAACCAGGTGTAAACCAGGTCTAAACCAGGACTAAACCAGGTCTAAAGCAGGCCTAAACTTGGACTAAACCAGATCTAACTGAGGTCTAAACCAGGACTAAACCGGCCCTGTTGTGTTCAGGTCTGGACGTGTGGGAGCTGTTGAATCCTCGTAAGAGTAGAGCCGAGGTGGAGAGAGAAGCTCAGGAAGGACACGAGCTCTACCTGCACAGCCACAACCAGTACTCTGTGGGTAAGATCACATTTTATTATGATTATTATTATTTTTATTATTTGTCGTAAACAGTCAAACTTGATTAAAAGAGGTGGTCTGAGCTCTGAAATGACCCGGACAAGTTTGGTGAAGATACGTGGTCTTTAAAAAGTCAAAGCCATCTAGGAAAGCAATGGTCAGCTCTTCGGAGAAAAGCGTTTGACTGAGCCTCCACCAGAAAAGTTCCACAGCGCACCTTTAAGCTTCACTTGTCGCGTGTTTCGTGTTTGGTTTTTCCAGGTGAGCGCGTCAACAGGAAGTACGAGCTGCCTCACTTCAGCGCCGACAGCGTGTTCGGACTCCCCACTCCTCACCACGACGACGGGCGGAACCTGGCCAAGACCCTGAAGTGGATCCACGTGGACGAGACGTAAAAACATCACACGTGTTACGGAACCCCTGAGCGGCACGCACAAAAAAAAAAAAAAAAAAAAAAAAAAAAAAGCAGCTTGTCATTTAGGCTCCATTTTCTTAGACTGAGACAAACGTTATTGATCCACAAAGGAAATTATCTGGACACATCACAATATAATATAATAATAAAGAGAAAAAAAATATATAAATAGTAATAATAAATTCTAAATAAATAGCAAAAAAGAGCAAGAGACATGTGTGAAATAAGACATAATTATATAAATGTATAGAAACTAAAATAAAATAAAAAACTAAATAAAATAGAAAAATAAGTAATTCTAAGTTGTTGTTTTTTTTGTTTTTTTGCACAAACAGCTATTTTTATTATTATTTTTATCAAACACTAGTAGTATTATTTTAAACAGTATTAGTATATAAAGTATAAAGTCTGGAGTGTTTGATTTTATACATACAATTTTATATACAGTTTTTTCATCAGCCATATAAACAATAAAAAAAAAACTTCTTTTTTTTTTTACCTGTTTGTGCAAAAAAAAAAAAAAAAAAAAAAAGACAGCGAGAGAGAGACAAAAAGACAAGAAACTTTTTTTTTTTTTTTTTTTTGGTTTCCAAAAAAAAATAATAATAATAAAGGCAATTTTTTGGTGTAGGAGCAAAATAAATAAATAAAAACCTTAGAACTACTTATTTTTCTATTTTATTTTTACTTGTACATTTACATTTCACATTTATAATTTATATATATATTTCTCTTGCTCTTTTTTGCTATTTATTTAGAATTTATTATCACCATTCATACTATTTGTACCATATTATACCATTTATATTTTGTCTATTTGTATAATTTAGAGATCTCTTTTTTTTTTTTTTTTTTTTTTTATATTTGCCGCCCGGGTCTTCTGTACCTCTGCGTTACATTTTATCAGAGAGTTAATACGTTTGTGTATTTACAGGACAGAGGACGAGACACAACTGCCTGCTGAAGGGTATGTTTATGTTTATAGTTTTTTTATTGTGTCTTATGTTTTATTTTAAATCATCAGAATGCCTGGGAAACCAGTTTAAAAAGTGATGCATTAAAACTCTCTTTTCTTGTCTCTTTTCTGGAGCTTGTCTCGTGGAGATGTCGTTGCTTTGCTTTCGGAATGTTCCACAGTTTGTTTTTAAACTTTTTGCTTAATGCAGGGTTGTTGTTGTTTTTTTTTTGTTTTTTTTTTTTTCTTTTATTCTTTTATTGAGGTTCACCTCCATAGATCTGACCTGTAACTTGGCCTTATTCCCAGAGCACAAGCCAAGAGATAAAATTTTATGACATATTGTGGAGCATTTCAGGCAAAACAATTACATCTCCACAAGCAAGTGTCACACTTTCCATCAGAAAAGTTACATGATGCTCATTTGATATTAGACTTAAACAAATTTTATTGATCCACAAGGGAAATGATTTGGACACAGGAGTCACACATCACAATATAATAAAATAACAAAGATTAAAACATGTAAATGGTCATAATAAATTCTAAATAAGCAGCAAAAAAGAGCAAGAAACAGGAGTAAAAAAACAGACAGTTATATAAATGTATAAATGGTGAAAAGGTTTTAGGAAGATGTGTTTATCTAATGTTTTATTATCTCTTTTTTTATTTGCAGAAAGGAACCTGCCACAAATTCTTCACAAACCTTTGGGATTCGAGCAACTTCGGATCAGTACGGTACAGAACATTTATCTATTATACTGAATCTGTGTTTTTAATATATTTTACATCATGTTTGCAGCTCAAAAACACACAAAGTATTTTTTATTTATACCATATTTTTCGGATTATAAATCGGTCTGGAGTATAAGTCGCACCAGCCAAAAAATGCGTAATGAGGAAGAAAAAAATATATATAAATTGCATGTATTTATAAAATAAGTTGTAGTAATAACAGTAGAATAGAAGAGAGAACAACAGACTGTTAACGTCACATATGAACAGTTCTTCAGATAAACTATAACATAAACAACAGAACAAGTTTAACCAAACTCTCCATCTCACTCCAAATCACTAAATCCATTCAATTCTTCATCCTCGGTGTCACTTCTGAACAACTCCACGACCTCTGGAGGTAAACAGAGCGACGCAAACTCTTCTGTGTCGCTGTCGTCAGACTCAGCATCAGTTCCAGTTAGAATTATTCGTGTCTTTCTGAATCTCGACAGGATGGTTTCGGTGTCACTGAAGTCCAGACTTTGTCCATCCAGTGACTTCAGGAACGTTTCACGGTTCATCCTCCCGGTGTCACAAGTTTCTCTCTCACTCCAAACTTTCTTTCTGCTGCTCGATTACAGTTTTCAGCTGCAGATTTCACGACTTGCAGTTTGTAATCTGCAGAATCTGACTTTGTTTTTGGGGGCATTTGTGTTCAGTCTTCTCAGTCTTTGTCTCTATAAGTTTGTTTAAATGTTAAGTTGTTCAGTGATGCAGAAGTAACGGTGCGATCGACTGACATGACACAGACAGAACAGAGGCTCTTTCTGCAGGAGACATGCGCAGTAGAGCGAAAAGTGACAGTGGTGCAGGAGGAACAGGAGCAGCAGATCCTCACACACAAGACTAGAACCTCTCACCACTTCACTCAAACATTTTAATATAGAAGTCACACCGGAAACACCCAAACCATGAAAACAGTGACACACAAAAAAAAAGAAAAATACTCTGCATTATGTTGCCATGCTGTTATTTTGTATTTTCAAAAATCTTGATGTCAGTGTTGAAATCCAGTCTGTTTAAACCTAAAATGTGTCTCTCTGATCTGAACAGTCACTCCCTAAACCCCAGCACCTGCACCAATCATGAGTCAGTGCTAGTGCAGCCTCTGCAGCTCACGGTGGCAATTCTGGAGGTTCTGAGTTTCACATGAGCCTGAACATAAACTGAGAATGAGACAAACTTGGACGTGTCTCTATCTGCAGGTTAAAACTTTGGAGACATACGTTCAGTTGGGATTATAAAACAGTCCAGTTCCTTTAAGTTTTATAGTTTTTATACCTGTTACGTTTACTTAAAGGGATTCTGTATCTCACATGAGCTCATTTCCAACTTGCTTAAAGGCCTTTTAATGTATTCGTGTCAAAAGAAAATCTTTTTACATCATGTAAAAGCTCAGGGTGACCAGACGTCCCTGTTTACCTGGGACACTCCCAGTTTTGAACCTGTGTCCCCATCTTAGCAAATTTATCCAAAACCACTGATTTGTCCCAGTTTTATACAAGAAATATCCCAGGTGTCCCTATTTTTGACCAATCTGATCCCTGCTGACAGTAAAGAGAGACATAAACTGTCATTTGTTTTGGTAAAATACAGAAAAGCTGCTTAAAAACGACTAAAGGAGACTATGGACCAGTGGAGTCACTTGGTCACTTCGTCCAACAGATCAGTGTGTGGAGGCAAAACAACTTTCTCCAGCTTAAACTCTGACAAGACTGAAGTCATAGTGTTTGGTCCACAGAAACAAAGGGACAGTGTCAGCATCACCTCCAGTCTCTCTCTCTAAAACCTTCAAATCAGGCAAGAAATCTAGGGGTAATAATGGACTCAGACTTGAACTTTAACAGTCACATCAAGTCAATAACATCTGCAGCCTTTTACCATCTAAAAAACAGAGCAAAATCAAAGGTTTACTGTCTAAATCAGACTTGGAGAAACTTATCCATGCATTTGTCTCCAGTAGGTTAGATACTGTAATGTTCTGCTCACTGGTCTCTCCAAACGAGCTGTGAGACGCTGCAGAACATCCAGAACATCCAGAACATCCACAACATCCACAACATCCAGAACATCCAGAACATCCAGAACGCTGCAGCTCGGGTCCTTACTCGAACTAGGAAGTACGAGCACATAAGTCCTGGTCTCAGGTCTCTGCACTGGCTCCTGTGACTCAGAGACTTTAAAGCGTCTCTGCTTGTACAAGTCTCTCCATGGCCGAGCACCAAAGTCCATCTGTGACATGTTAGTGTCATATGAACATCTCACACTCTGAGGAGCTCAGGGACCAACTCCTGCTGGTGCCCAGAGTCACGACTAAACAAGAGGAGTCAGAGTTTCAGGTTCATGCAGCTAAAACCTGGAACAGTCTGAACATGTGAGACAGACTCTTCTGTGACGCTGTTTAAATCCAGACTCTAAACATTTCTGTTTAACTGTGCATAAAACTGAAAGGTTTTCATTCCACACTCTTCTCTCCAATTTATGTCTCTCTTTTTTAATTTTAATCTTCATGATTATTTATGTTTTGATTAGTTTTTATTATGATTTTAATGTATTTCTTATTCTGTAAAGCACTTTGAATTACTTTGTGTACGAATTGTGCTGTACAAATAAACTTGCCTTGCCTTGCCTTGCCTAAAACACAAAGAAAATGTGACAATACTGACTCACATGTTGGTCGTGAATGGGCTGGTGTCACAATTTTATTATTACCAAACACCTCAAACCGGGAGAGTCCCAGTTTTTTTATTTTGAAAATCTGGCCACCCTATAAAAGCGACTAAATAAACACTGAGACTATAAAAGTACAAGGCTCTGGAGACACAGGGTCAGTTGTGATTGTAGAAACGTTTACAGTAACACAGGTGACATAGTTTAACCTGGGTTAGTTTTAAGACTAAGTTAAACATCTGCAGCGTCAGGCAGGTCTGCACATGTTCACGTCCAGCTCTGTGGTCCTCTTGACGCCCTGTTCTTGTTCCAGGAGCAGGAGAGGTGATCCACGGCACCGCCCCGGGACAGAACGCCCAGGGCCCCACCGCGCAGAGAAACCTGGTCCACGTCATCCGCCACCACCTCAAGAAGGTCAACTACCACTTCTTCTCGTCGCTGCTGCGAGCCTTCAGACACTACGACAAGGTACAGAGCCTCTGGAGTCTGCAGCACAGGAACAGCACGAGACCAACTTTACTAATCTGCACGGGAAATTACTCAGACAAGAGAGGAAGGGGAGTCCATGTGACCGCTGGAGGTCCACATTACTTTTCGTTTAATTAAAGTACCATATTTTCCGCACTCTATAGGCGAGTTTCATTGTTGACAAAAGCGCGCGTTGCTGCTGGGAATTATTTTGGTCGGCGGCAAGAAACACTAATTCAACATGACGGACGGAGCGAGAAAGCACGTAAAGGGTATTGATCCCGGTTATTTATCCACTCTAACGGCAGAGGACCCAAGACCATTTGACCAGAAATTGGTCATAAACATCGACGGACGACAAATCACCTTTTTCAACCCCGACAAAAGGTGGACCAAACCAAATTTCTGGTCAGAATCGCCAACTACCTGGACAAATATTCACTTGGGCGACATCCACAATGACTTGGTGGAAACTCCTGGGCCATTCACAGCAGAAAAGATGAAAACCTCCAAGAGTCTCGATGTGTTGTTGAACTTGTTGGAGTCCACGGTTTGTTAGGATCTTCTACGTTTGCTCTGCGGATGTTTGAAAGTCGTTTAATTCACCGTTAGCGGTTCTTTTCACTCAGAATACGAAAAAGACATTTTCCTTCTTCCGTGCTTCTATTTGTGCGTCCGATAATGCAGCAGGAATTTACCATTATCGGGGAGAAATACGCGAAGGTTACGCACTGTGTTTGACGCTACCGTGTTTCTTGCCTCCGAACAAAATATTTCCCATCAGCAACGCGGGCTTTTAATAACAATGACGTCAGCTGAAACTCGCCTATACACAAGTCAGAGTGAAAAAGAGTGTCAGAGTTTCTTTTCTACAATACCGTATTTTCCGGGCTTTTAGTTGCTCTGGATTATAAAATGCACTGTCATTAAATGGTCTATTTTCTAACTTTTTTCACAAATAAACCGCGTGGGACTTTAAAGGAAACCCAACAGTGTGATGGGTGAGTGGTTTTGTTTGTTTGTTCGTTCACGGTGACTCTGGGCTTTGTTCAGTTGTGGCGTGTAGGGAGGGTGTGTCTGGGACCAACGGATTGTCGGCGTGTTCGCAGTGACTCAGTTGTTCAGTCGTGTCTAGAAGCGGCACGTCGCGCTCGCTTTTTTCGTTTCGTTCCTCCGTTCCGTTCCTCGTCGGCGTGGAGTGATGAGTGTGTCTGTGGGTGTGTTTCGCTGTGCGGTCGCTGTCTGCTCCGTGTGTGTTTGCGGTTTTGTAGTTTACCGAAGTCATGCTGGGACGCCCGAGTGGATTTGTGTATGGGGCGCTCTGGATTGTGGTGCGCGGTCGTTTTTTGATGGGGTTGGAGACTTAAGAGCGCGACTTATAGTGCGGAAAATACAGTATTTTAAGAAGTAAAACATGACATACTAAGGCTACTTACTTATTACTTATATTTATTTAGTCCGTACATTGGGTTACATCGGGTTTACTCCACATCTTCCAGTGCCCTGACAACTGTTCAAAGTCTTCCCATGTTAAATCCATGGGTTTCAGCTTCTTACACGGTTACACAGCGTAAAGGCCTATTCATACTTTAGATCAGGGGTGTCAAACTCATTTTGGTCCGGGGGTCGTATCCAACCGACTTTCATCCCAAAGTGTCCGGATCAGAAAACTCATGTCATATAAACCCCAAAAATAACAATACGTTCAAATATTTGTGCAGAGAAACACAAATCTATTACAGAAATCTTTTTTAATTGATGAACTCTTTCTTATTATAATATTATAATATTATGAACAATCTGAAACTTTAAGAAAAATTCAATTTCAACACAATGTTTTAACATGAACTTGTATGCAAATTTGAATAAGTCAGTTTTTGTTGTAAAATCCTGCACTCGGCTCCACTTTTCTCATGTTGGACATTTTTCTGATGAGGGTGTCACGGTCAACAGTCAAAACGATCGTCCTTTAAGAGCGTTTGGAAAGAGACAAGTCTTCATTTGTGCTGCTCTGGTGGGAGGGGCCACGTACAGAGACGCTGGAGACGCTGCTGTGATAAACACCACAGAAAATTAACAAGATTTTAATAGAAAATATAATTAAATATTTTTGTAGAAAATCACCCAAGGGCCATATTAAAGGTCTTGAAGGGCCAGATCTGGCCCCCGGGCCTTATGTTTGACACCTGTGGACTAAAGGATTACAAGCCACATACATGTATTTATCAATGCACATGTAAAAATTCCTAAATCAAAATGTGGAAAAGGGAATGTGTTTGAAAATATATCCTGCAAACGACATCTGTCTGTTTACTAATATTATTACTATTACTATTACTACAGTTTAGAAAGACAAATACAACATGAAGTTTTTTTTTGTTATGTTTTATTGTTCAAGTGCAGAACAGTGAGGGGGGTGAGAGAGGCTCTACATGCCCAGGAGCCTCCTGTACCACCTCCTCTTTCTCTTCTTCCGTTCCATCTCCAGCTCCTGCTCCAGCGCCGTGCTCACCTCCTCCAGCAGGGAGCGCTGTCTTTCTGTGCTCCTCTGCTTTTCCTCCAAGGCGCTGAATCTTTGGAGCAGTAGGGAGAGCTCTGTGTTCAGCTTCTCACGGGTGTTTACCAGAGCTGTTTTCTCTTCCTCTAAAGCAGTCTTCATGTGATGTTCCTGCTCTACCTGCTGGTGTAGAGCCCTGTTCTTTACAGTCAGCAGGGAGAGCTCTTCCTGAGTTGTAGCCAGGGCGTGGTCCAGTGCGCCGCACCTGTCCACCAGCAGGGAGCGCTCTGCCTCGAGGTCTTTACTGTGTTCAACATGGTGGCTTTCTCATTTTCTAACTGTGCTCTGCCATGTTTTTCCTCTTTCACTTCCTGCTCTAGAGCACAGTTATTTGCAATGAGCAGGCAGTTCTTTTCCTCACACCTCCTCAGTTTTACCTGCACCGCATCACATGTCTCGACCTGCACCGAGAGCTGTAATTTTAGCTCATCGCAGGTCCTCAACAGGGCGGCCTTTTCATTTAGCAGGTCGTCTCTGTTCAGTTTGTCCTGCTCGACCTGCTGTTGGAGTGCAGTGGTCTTTGTCTCTAGCAGGGAGCACTCTTTCTCTGAGGTCCTGAGTAGCTCCTCTAGTCCACTGCACTTCTTCTCCAGCAGGGAGCGCTCTAAGCTTAGCTCTTGGCAGGACTTCAGAATGGTGGCATTTTCTTTCTGGAGCTCAGCAATGTTGTTTTTCTCCTGTTCCACCTCCTGCATCAGATCCTTCTTCAGAGCCCCGTACCTTTTTTTGAGGATGGAGTGCTCTTCCTGAGACCTCCTCAGGCAGTCCTGCAGCTTCTCACGGGTCTGCACAATGTTTTGGACCTGTGTCTGCATGTTCTCGAGTTCCTGGAGCTTCTGGGCCTTCAGCTCAGCCTCCTTTTGGTGTCTGAGCTCCAGAGATGACTTGTCTTTTTCAAGTTGGGCCAGAATACACTCCAGGTGAGAGTTGCGTTCTCTCAGAGCAGTATTTTCCAAAGACTTTTCCTGGAGTTTAGAATTCAGATCAGCAGAGTCCTGCTGGAGTCTCTGCTTTTCCGTTTTCCACTGTGCATATTTTCTGCAGGAATTGTCTAGGTGTTGCTGCAACAGCGCTGTCAGGTCAGCGACCTGTTTCTCCAGTCCCTCAATATCTCGGGACTGAGGCTGGTTGTTCAGTTCATCTGGTTGGATGAACAGATCTTCTCTGGCTCTGGCCTGAGCAGCTGAGGCAGCCTGGAGTCGAGACATGACTAAAGCCATGCCCTTCTCCTCGTCCTCCTTGGACCTCTGGTGGTGTTGAGGTCCAAGCTGCTCCCGTTCTAACTCCTCAAGAGTTAGAAACTCTTGAGGATTTTGAAAGGTGTGGACCACCTGTTCTGGTGGTCCAGAGGCCTGATGTGGGTTGGTAGGTGTTAATCCCAACGCCTCCATCAGGTTGAACTCCTGGCTGTACAGGAGTTCGTCGTCCTCACTAGTGTAATCGCACCAGTCTTTGGGCATGTTTGTCTGTGGTGAGTCTCTGTGTCTCGGTCGAAGTCTGAATAGAAGTGATTTTACACTGGAACTTGTGCTACACATATAAATGAACAAGTGAAGCTTTATGATGTCATAAAGTAGAAATAGAATGTGGAACGTGTTGCCAGGTGACGCCAGGTGTTGCCAGGTGCTGTCATGTGATCAGGTCAGGTCAGGTGATTCCATAGTTGCCATAGTTACATATGAATTCCAGTATATCACAGATTTATTTGAAAGTGTTTTTAAAGGTTAAATATGTATTTTTGTGGTGTTTGAAGCGTCTGTCGTCTCCACGTGCTTTTCTCTGTGCAGACAACCAACCTCACAATATGACCGACACCACACAAAGAGAGTTCTCCTGCCAAGATCTGGATCTTTTTATGAATAGTATTTGGAAACATATTTTCGTATGTGATTATTCCACATTATTTCTATAAAAAAAAAAAAAAAAAAAAAGTTTAATAGATTTTAAAGTTCCTCTCGTACTGGAGCCAGAACATGTACAACTTACTTGTTGTCCGTTGAAAGGAACGTGTGGATGTGGAGACGTAGTCAAGAGTGGTTGGACTGCTGCGATGTGCTTCGCTTCAGTGACACGGAGTTCATTAAATATTTTCGTATGACGAGAAGAATGTTTGTGTACATTTGTGGCTTGTTGATAACGTGTAGGTCAGCTGAATGCGACCTGGCCGTTCAAAAATGTAAAAACTCATGTCCTTAACGGAGGGAATGAAATATGCAGCACTTTTTGGGCAATAAATCCAAACAGTGATAACTCTTGGTTCTCACTTACATATCCTTAACAAACTGGTTTGAATATTTGCTTCATATAGTTTTCTACCATATGGTACAAGATTAGGTTGAAAAACCTCTTACTTTTTGACTCATGAGATTTTTTTATTAAGAAAGGTCATGGTAACGGAGGGAAAAGTAACGGAGGGAAAATTGTTCAAACAAGTAGAAGGTGC